CTACAAAGTTTGAAATTTTGATCTACATCTGATATTTTCATAAAAAAAAATTTTTTTTTAATAATAAACATTTTTTAAACAAAGAAAAATAGCCAGAACTTGCTAAAATGTGTCTTCTCTATTTACATTCTCGCCACCGTACATCATAAAAACGAAACATGAGAACACATTTATGACAGGAGGAAAAAATAAAAATTAAATAACATGGAATGAAGTGCGAAAACAGTAAAAAGAATCGACCAAACACGGCCGTTGCCGATGTCGATTAAGCGGTCGGACTCTAGTAGAGAACTTCTTAACAAATAATCAGGACTGTTTTTTTCGGGCTACTTTCGAGCAAATGAGCGTAAAAATGAAAACTCCCACAACAGTGAAGAAACTGGCCAAAATCAGCGCACACGTGGTCGAGCTGAAAAACACCTAATGGCATAACGAATTTTTCTATGTCGTCAATGAACTGTTTTCGTTTCAAAATGAAGAATATCGATAAATGTCGATAACGCCAACAGTGATGTCAAATTGTCGTTTTTATTTCGTTTTCAAACGACAGCGCCAACAGGAATAGGCTCGTTTACTTCAACGTTTTATGATAACTATACAGACATTACTATTAGAATGAGAGACGTTTAATAGGGTAATTAAAAAAAATACATATATAAATGCGAGCTTGTACAACCCCAATTATCTATTTGTATGCAAATACATACATATACATATATGTATGTGCGGAAATCCGATAAAAACTACTATAAGTTCTACATAACAGAAGTAATATAAATTACCAGGATTATATATCAAGTTGGTTAAGATTATATTATAAAAAAAAAAAACTATTATTTTAATATCAAAAAAAAGTAGTGTAATATATGAATATAACTTTTTTTAGCAACTAACATATAACATAGTATGAAAGCTAGTATAGTCAATATTATTAAGTAAAAATTATATACTACATACATAAAAAGAAAATTGTACTTATTAGAAAAATAATGTATATATGTATCTATATTGCATCTAGAAGAAAGTTATTACTATATACGATTAACAATAGCAAAACAGAAAAAATACTAACATAAATGTGTTTTAGTTCAAATTTGTTTGAGTAGAAAACAGATGCGAAATGCTAGGCCTAGCAAAAGTATGCTGTTATCATAACAAAAGCAATTTACTAACGATGTCGCAACGGCAAAAAATGCTAAACGTGCATTAGAAATGTGTCATATTTCCCAAAAAATTGCATGCAAGGATTCCTATTATAACGCTGAAATTTGAAATCTAGGACTAATTTGTTTTATTATATTTTTTTTTTACAAAATTAACATCAATTACTGCACAAACTCATTTTCGCTTCTTATTAGTATTTCTTTGACCAGCAAACACTTTTTTCGAACGTTTTGTGTACGATTTCGAATTGGAGTGCCGTTTTTCTTCCCATTTCATTTGTTTTGCGGATGATTTGTCCTTATTGAATAGGGCATTTGAGGTACCATGTCCCTTTGTTTTACCCGTTTCTTCTAGCAGTTCTGCGAAATCATCAGCCGCGGCGAACAGTGAACTCATATCTACAAATTAAAATGCCAACATTAAATAGAGAGAGCAAAAATATTTAGTTGTACTCACCATCACTATGCTTAAGTTTCTTTGCGAAACTCTTTTCATTCAATGCAACTGGTCGTTTGCGAGACTTTTTCTTTCGAGTAGTTGACAAGCCGTCTTCATCATCATCATCATCATCATCATCTCCCTCATCATCACTCATATCTTCAGACATGCTCTCTTCGCCATCGTCGCTTAAATCGTCTGGGCCATCCCCCTCATCAAGTGATATTGAACCAGCGTCATCATCTTCCTCGCCATCAATCGAACGGTCATCATCGTCAGACACGTCGTTATCTCCGGCAAGATCACCCTCTTCTATATTATCATCACCCCAATCTGCATCAATATCTTCCACATCATCTTCGTCATCATCTCTAGATGCTTTTTTCTTTTTCTTTTTACTGTCAGATTTTAATTCTCCGCCTAGCTCTTTGAGGAAGTCAAGCTCTTCTTCTCCGTCCTCAGCATCGGCTGCTGCTTTAGCTTTTTTGCCAAAATAGCTACCAAGATATTCCTCAAATTCATCGTCTCCAACCTCGCCTTCTTTCAATTGTTCATCTTCCTTATTTTCAGCAACTTCCTTCTTCTTTATTTTATTAACGACAGTCTGTTGGCGTTTTTGCTCCAGGAAATTAAAAATGTACATTTCGTCTTCAGTGCAATTTGCTTTCGTTAGAGATTTAACCGGTTTTCCACGTGTTCCGAATGACACATAGCGTTTATGTGTGATTATGGGGGCCTCATCTTTTTGATCCAATTTTTTTGGATTTTTAAAAGCAAAACGTTCAAGAAAATGTGGTAAGCCGAAATCGCGCAATGGATCGCCGTAATAATCGATCCTTTTTTCTGTAATCATGTGAATAAATTTGTAAAAAAAAAATATAATATACATTATATCGTATATCTACTTACGTTGCAAAATATTATTCGCAAAAACTTGAACGGTAGGATGAAAATGCTCGCGGAGCAGCAACAACTCGTGTCGCAATGCAAATTCAGCGCCAGCGAACGAGGGCACTCTGTGATAAGGGTCATATTTGTTTGGTGCAATATCTCGTACTTTTGCATCGGCTACAGATGATTCCAATTTTGCATGATGCCATGAGGAAATCGTTGACGGGTTTATTTTAGATTCTTCCAATTCATTACGTTCTTCCAAATCCTCTTCATTTGCAGTTTCTTCTTCATCGCGTATATCCTCATACTTTTCTTCGCCATCGCTATCAAATTTGGACAGCTCCGCATCGTCGGATTTCACTTTAGGTGCAGTTGGTGCAACATTGGTGGAATTATCTTTAGTTTCGTACGGACTTACACCACCTGCCAGCTCTTTGCGGCTACGTAATAATTTGTTTATCACTATAAGACAACCGGCAGCCATATTTGGCGGCATGTAAAGTGCACATTGCAGCAATCGCTTAATAAATGCTTGCGCACGCTGTACATTTCCATCTATATGTATTGCCCGATGGATGATATGAAGTAGTTGCGCAGCTGTTTTAACACCCACGTTTATGACTTCAAGGTCATGCATTTTCTTATAGAGTGCATTGTAGAAACGATCGGATTTCTCCGTTTTCACAGTCATTAGCTGCAAAAGCAAACCAAGTGTCTGCACAGAAACGCGGATATCAGCCAAATGTACCATCCGATAGATTGTGTCTTGCATATCCTTGCTAAGAATTTCACTTGAGCCTTCTGTTGGCTTTGCCTCTAAAATCGCCTTTTGTAAACAACGTAAAATGGCTTGCATTGTCCGATTGTTGACAGCACCTTTTTCTACAAGCACCTTAAACAGCGCAAAACAAATATTTACTAACTTAGTGCAAACTTCTGGGCGGCCTGAAGTTGCGATACTTGCTAGGAAGCAAAGTGCAAAGTGCTGAGCCCTTTCAGAGATGTTGTTACGGAAAAGTAGCTTCTCGGATTCTGCGACAATAACACCGCACATATTTGGATGACGATGGGCAACTTCACTAAGATGATGCAATGCCTTTGATGCCACTTTCGCTGTGGGATCACCAAGTTTGTTAATAAGTAAAGTGAGTATCATTTGTTCTTTTTCAGGTGCAAAAGATAATAGTTGCGATGCGGCAACGATCGCCACGTTTTTATTGTGCTCTTGACCTGTTTGGATCGCCTGTTGAAGATTTCTTAGAAATTCTACAAAAAAAAAAAAATCGAGAGTAATTATTTTTAAATTTAAAGGCTAACAATATACGAGTATTTTCATACCAAAATACTGGTCTTTCAACTCATTCTCAAAGTACCAATATGCATAAATGCGTCGCTGTTTATCTTTACTTAATGTCGTATTTTTACGCACTAACTTCCAATCAGCGCCACGCATTTGCAAGGATAGGAGTTTTCGATGCGGTGGCAGTAGGACCTTTTTCCATAAATCTACTAATATGGTCATAACCTCATTTGATGCTTTATTGGATTGTTTAGTAAAGCCAATTAGTGTGCTCAATGCCTCCAAATTACCCAACGGATTGCTAGTAACCAGAAGGGCGCCAGCGTTGGCTCTATCTTTTGCAGTACCCTTACGCAAAGCCGTTTGCAGCCAACGGGCATCTGAGGCATCACCTGTTGCAAAAAAAACAGATATTACACGGTTATAGGCCACATACTATGTATGGAAATAGTAAATTTTATATGACTACTCACGCTTGGAAAAAGCCGTCAGTTCGGCTTCGAATGCATTTTTGCATAAATTGTATAATTCCATTTGCTCAGACTCTTTCATGTCCAGTACTTCTTCCGATGAAGGATACTCAGGGTACTAAATTATAGGCGACATTCTAAATGTTTTTCTTGCAAATTGTATGAGTTGATTACTTACAACATTAAACCATTTTTTATTTGTATCAGCATCATCCTTTTCATCTTTCTGCTGTTGGCGCTTCTTTTCGCGTTTGGCAAAGTAGTCATTCTCATCATTCTCAGTGTCCTCCTGCTTATTGTGCTCTTCCTGCAGTCCATGCGATCCTTTCCTTTTGTCTCCTTTTAACTTTTTCTTCTTGCCCTCCTTCTTCGCTCCTTTCAAGTCCTTGCCTCTTGCGCCCTCTTCCAAAATCTGGCCGTCGTCATCGAATACAATCTTTTTATTTTGGGCTTGTGTTGAGATGCTGATGCCTGATGCTGCTGGCGGCGCCATTTTAAAACAATCACAATTATTTTAATTAAAATTACTATGCCAGAAATAAGCAAACCCAATCACCAAAAACAGAAATAACACACGTGCGATGAAGTAAAATGTCAACTGTCAAAAGTCAAAAGTCAACAGTGCTGTGAATTGAGGGAGAAAATGTTTGGGGTTTTCGCAGTAATAATCGATCATAAAATGTACTGAATACGAACTTTTCTGATTTCATCTATCTTTTACATAACCAGTTATAATTTAAAATCTATTGTATTTTAATAACTGTCCATTGCAATAAAAGGCCTCCTTCAAGTACTAAGTTTCAGCATTGAAGTCCTGCTGATAAGTGAAGAGCGTTTATTTAGGTATGACTCTTGAAGGTACAAGGTATTACAGTTGCTACATAAAAATGCAGCCCTTCAAACCGCAAAAATGTTGGTATAACAACAGAAAACGAAAAATACCAAATTAAATTTTCGTGTTTTTCAGGTGTTTGTTGAATTAATTGTGATCCAAGTGAAATTTGGTGCAGTTCCTGTACAAAATTGTTACCTAAACTAAAAGGAGCATAAGAAAGATTCAATATATAATCCGTGCATAATAAGCCAAGGAGGTGGAACCATTTCTGGATAAAATGAATGAGGCAGCTTTGGCAAGTATGATCTACAACGATCCCATAGGCATCTACGAGCAGCCCAGGTACACGTACCTTGATTCAAGGAAATCATCATAATTTACACTAATTTTATGCTTACAGGCCACGTTTTATTTTCAAAATGCCGCGTGTGGTGCCCGATCAAAAGGCTAAATTTGAAAGCGATGAATTATTTCGTCGCCTCAGCCGCGAAAGCGAGATACGCTATACTGGCTATCGCGAGCGTGCTTTGGAGGAACGACAAATGCGTTTCCACAACGGTTGTCGCGAGGGTCATACCGAGATCTCGTTCGTTGCATCGGGCACCAATCTGCAGCTAGTTTTCAATGCAACACAGAATCCGTACTTGCACGATAAAGAGTGCGACTTTGACAAGGAGCACGGTAAAGTGTACATAAAGTCGTACTTCATAATGAATGGTGTGTGCGTACGTTTTCGAGGTTGGCTAGACTTGGAGCGTTTAGATGGTTCGGGCTGCCTAGAATTCGATGAACGACGTGCTATGCACGAAGATCAAATATTGCGGGAGCAGATCGAAAGATACAATTTAAGGCTGCGAGAATTTGAAGACTCAAAACGTGCATATCGTGATAGTCGACCAGAAGTAGATATGGAAGCTGTACGTCGTGGTGTGCCCTCAGGTGGCATTGGTGTAGGTGCTAGTATGTGGCGGCGTTAAATGAGGCTTAATGGGTTTGGAGAGAGGAGCGAAAAGATCCATTCACTATAAAAAACTTGTAAGAGTGTTGTGGTTAAGACTAAATATAAACCAAACTAAATACTCGACTATTCATCTAATGCTTCAATCAACAATTTAATCAATTATCAATAATTATTATGTACTAATTAAATTTTATTGATTAAAATATAAGCATAAGTTGTGGCAGTTGATATTCAAACTTTTACTATTATTAAGTTAAACCTACTTTTGTATTATTTCGTACACTTTTGCTTTACCTATATTTTTTAATTAAAGTTTCTTATACGAGTAAAATTATCCAAGAGTAGTTTTTAGTTAATTTTATTTGAAATATAGGTTAGGCTGCTATGTGTCAGCAATACAGAATTTTATAATCGTTTAGTTTTTGTTTGTTGAGAAAGTTGCGTGTGATTTTCTTACAAACTTTGCTTCTTTTTTCGACAGTTTTCTTCTTCATATACGAGGAAATTGCTTGAGCGCCTGTCGCAGCAAAATGTTTACAACAGCATTCCGACGGCTACTGCGACCGGCACTGGTTGTTGCTATAGGTTTTGTATTCAAACCGCCGGACCAAGGAGTTCTCTGATTTATTCCCCGCTTGGTTTCTTTTTCAGTGGGTACGAAGATTTCATTATTCCAAAATTATTTTTATGACTTTCGCCACCTTGCCATCATTTAATAATATTAACTTATTGATAGTGATTACATTCGGTCTAGGCCGGTTAACCTGACACGCGTTGTTGTTGTTGTAGCAGCATACAAATTCCCCAAAGAGTTTTTGGGGAGTGTTGCTGGAGTGACAGTCCTTGGCCAAATATAAATCTGGGTCGTTCCGGTTACGTAGACCCGACTGTCGTGGGAACGCCTGACCCGCTTGAAGGCGTCGTCATATAGATGGTTGGAATAATTTTAAATGCTACCTGTTCACTAACGATTAAATTAATGCGTAAAAGTGTTTTATATCTTACTTTATTTAATATTTTCGTACAGGTTAAATATAGTTTTAATGGAATATGTTTAACATAACATTAAAGTTTGTAATCGACAAAAACACATCTTCATAAAAATTTCTTGTATATGTATGTATAAAGTTATGAACTAAAATTAACGGTGTGCTTCAATGCACTTCTTCAGCGAAATTGCAAATTCGATATGCGCAACCCAATACTGTCCTTGCCAATTTGACTCACTTCACAGACGGTGCAAAGCTGTCCCTTGTATTGCGTATCGAAAGAGGCACCACAGAATGGGCACGTCACCTCTGGTTTACCGCGGTATAACGGCTTATAGCTTATACCACAAATGTTAAATGGATTGAACTCTTCATACTGCAATTGGTGCTCGTCTATGGGATTAACTTCACAGGCCTGCAAGATTTTGCGTACTTGTTGTGCGACTTCTGGTCGTGGACCCAACTCAAGTAGTCGTCGGGCGAAAGATGCCGCAGTCTTATAGTTCTTCAGTTTAAAGAACATATTCAAAGCTGTGCGTAACGTAAGGATCTGATGGACAGGCTGTAGTTTGCAATGCGTGAAATAGGCGGCCATTTCACAGAGGCGCTTTTGCTCCTCTAACGTAGACTTTGGCATACCCTTCCGTTCGGTTTCCATTTTCAAGCCAAGTATGTATTCGGAACAGATCTTCAACAATTGCTGTGTTTCTGCGATATCCTGCTTTGTCTCCACCACCAACAGTGGTATGTGTAACAAAATGGAATGGAATTTTTCGATAGCTTCTATAAATTTACCAGCTGTGGTGAGCTGGTAGCCGGCTTGCAACCGTTGCACTAAATCGTTTAATTTTACACCCAATGCCGGGCGTTGATTTTTCGGATTGGTTTCGCCGGTGTTGCGAAGCGGGTATGCGGACAGTGACTGCAAATTGGGCATAGCTGTAAAACTTGTGCGTGCACAAGTGTAATTCTGCAAAAATAATGTTTTAAAAGGCTTGAAATTAATAACACCCAATTGATCGTTGAGTAGCCGGAATGCCGATTCAAAGGAGCCAGCTTTAACATGATCTACTACAAGAGGCGAATGATTAGCCCAGTGCTGGGGAGCAGAGAGCCCTTTGCTTGGTGCAGCATAAAAGCCATTATCCAAAGCAGAAGCTTTTATTTTCGAGGCAAGTTCTTCTGGCACTACCAAATCTTCATCACCCACATCCCAGCCAGCGCCCTCCTCACCAACACCTTCTGCACCAGGTTCGCTATCGAGAGCGTCATGCATTTCATCGTCACCGTCTTCTCCGAGACCCAAGTCTGCATCTGCACCCCAACCGTCACCTGCGCCGACATCATCCAACACAGCTGCATCGGCATTGGCGTTAAGCGCTTGCCGTGCAGTGGCACTAGTGCCTGCACGTGTAATCATGGCACCTTCAAAGAAGCCCTTCGACACGGTCAGTAGTGGCCAGTTACTTTCCACTTGCTGAATAGGTACAGGTGGCTGGAGCAACGTTGCATTTGGATTGACCACGGGCAACTCATTACCTTCCTGAGTGATCGTTGTCTCTAATTGTTCTGCTTGCTCTTGAAAACCATGTGTCGCAGCGGTAAGATAGGCCAGCGAAAGTTGGCCGCAGTTTTTAAGAATGTTTACGCGTTCCTTGACATCACCCAACAGCAGGGCACCCTGGTACTGGGCTGAAACATCTTTGCGAATTTCTGCAATCTTATTCATCTTCTTAAGTTTTTCGAGATTGCCAGTTATTAAATATAGAAAACTGAGCTTGTCAAAGTTCTTGGTGCGTTGGTAGCACATCTCGACCACTTGATGATTACCCTATAATGCAAGGTAGATACAATTAATTAATTAAGGAATTAAAATTTAAACAAATATCAATTCCTATGCCTACCTGTAGCAATGCGGCTTGCCCTAGTCGATCCCAACAGTCCTTATCATCGAGTGCCTTAGCTGCTTCTAATGCAATTTCGATATTTCCACATTCTAAGGCCAAACCGAATCGCGTTTTCTCGTCCTTGACAAAATGTAGCGCCACTTCAGGATATCCTTTTTGTTGCAGATAGGCAATGATACTCTGGCCCACAAGGCGTGCATTACGCACCATATGCAATACTTCATCGTATTTACGATTGATTAGTGCCAGCTTGAATTTATATTCTGTCGAATCAATATGGAGTACACGTGTACGACATTCCCGATCCAGACAAAATACTTGATTGCCTTTAACACGAGTCAAATAAATGGGCAAGTCAAGTGTGCGGATAATACCGTGGTCACCATTTGTGATCGCGTATTTAATGTGATTACTGGTGGTGTAAATAAAGACACCCGAGTCATCCCAGGCACCTGACTTGACGCGACAGTTCTCCTGGATTGTGCATAAATATTGCAGGCGGCGATCGCAAATGGTAACTGAGTGCTTGCAGAGCAACGCTACCAGCGACATGTCAGCAGACCAAACAACATAACGACACTTGGCCAATTTGATGCAACCAACAGATACTAATCGCTGTACCTCATAAAGGGTGACATATTCTGGATCACGTATCAACAGCATTCCAGTGCCAGCGTAAAAGATTTCCTCACAGAAGGTTGGTATTTTTTTAGTAACCTCATTTTTGAAGTTCTTTATTGCCAACTGCTGATTACGGTCGAGTACAGCAAATCGATTACGGGCCACCCAGATTGCGGTTATACCCGATGAACGTTTTGATTCCGTCTCATTTTGCGATTCAGAATCTTTGGGAATTTGATATAAGTCATACGTGCTATTCTCTAAATTGTTAGTACGAGTGCAAATGAGTACCGCATTTAATG